CCAGATCCCAGGAGTAAACGAACCCATCTTCAGAACCGCCAATCACATGTGCATCGGTGTTTGTGAGACAGCAATCGGTTTTCGAAGACTATGAGACAAAAAATGTTGTTCAGATGTTATTAATTAGCTATGAAACAATGTATCTTGACTCAATACTTGATGAATGGTTGACCATTCCATTTCATTAACACTATGTTTGGTTCAAGGAATTTTGAAGGAAAAGAAAAGAAAATGGTTTTCTCTCATTTTCCTCACCAAAATGGGAGAAATTTGATTTTCTCTCTACTTGGTACATTTTGCCTTCTCATTCTCTTTTCCTTCCACTTTTCCTTTCTAACGAAACAATAAAACTTGTTTTCCACTTCATTTTCTTTTCTTTTCTCTTTTGAATTCCTTAAACCAAACATAGTGTAAAAGAAATGTTACTCCCTCTGTCCCATATTTTAGTTCCCTCGTGTACTTGGAGTTTATGAAAGATTGAACTTATGTGGTTGAAATATGTGCAGAGGAGAGAGAAACAATATGAACTACTCAAATCATCCCTTAAAAGGAATGAGAGTTTTAGTTCGGGACATCCGCAAAAAAAAGTAAGGGTTTAAATATAGGACAGAGGGTGCGTTAATTTGGATTGCATAAGGCAATACAAGAGTAAACAAAGGTTGGGTATAGGCAATGCTTGACTCAAGACCTTGCAAGTGTGTCCCTTGTATTCTTGCAAAAGTTCACCGGTAGACCTATTGGGGTAAAAAAACAGTGAGGCAAAGAAAGTGTGGTGTTGTAAATTATGTGCTCCAAATGAATATATGCAAAGCATTCAAGAGCCAAGACTTCAAAAAATTGACCTATCCATGAGTCGAAGGGTTGAGTCGAGGCAGCTAGCAAGTATACAATTCCCATCGTTAGACAGCGAGATGCAGTTCACCGGTTGCCCCAAGCTATCAGATATTTCCCTGGCAAAACAATACCATATGGGACCTTATTTTTGCAAATATCTTGCAGGTATTTCAGCATTTATCAAAGCTATAAAATATAATTCCAACATTTTCAAAATTAGTACTTACCTACCAGTTCGAATGTCAAATGTTCGCACAGTACCATCAACGCTTCCAGCAATTATTTCAGTTTTTGTCACACAAACTGACATGACACTATCTAGAAATGTCTCAATAATCTGCATATTAGTGATGGAAAAGTTTATATTTGTGGAAGACATAAAATTTAGGCCAAACTTATAATAACACAATAGTAACCATAATATTCCTAACTGATTGATAATTGGAAACTACGTTATGTGTACTTACAAGCAAAAGCATTAACAAATAAATTTGAATGCAAGTATCTAGAATGTAGGGGAAAGTTGTTTACCTGAATTGGTTCTGTGCTGTGGGATTTGCAGTCCCAGACACGCACAGATTTATCATATCCCGCAGACACGACCACACTAGCATAATCATTGAACTTCACTGCATTCACCTGGCAAAGATGCACGAGAAGGGAAGTGCGAGGTATTTCAAGCAAGTGAGCAAACCAATGAAATAACTACTAAAAAGACCTGTACAACAAATCATAGCAAACAAACATTTCCAACAGCACCCACAACAACCCAGTATATTCCAAACTCTGTTGGAGTCTTGCGGGTCAAGATGTGGGCAGTCTTTGCCCTGTAAATATATAGAGACTGTTTATTCCCAAAACATCATAGAAAGTAAGAAGGAAAAGGATTTTTTATGCGCCATTTGGTTTCGTCCTCCATTAACAACGGACAGAATAAACAAACATTTTCATGCAAACAAAATATCATAATGATGTTCCTCGAGCAGAACCAAATTCATTAAAGTAGACAATTTTATAAAAGGGAACTTTGGTTTCTTTTGTATAAATTAGACACAAAAAGATGTCATTCATTCATACCCAGCATATTTCTAAGTCAACATTTGCCATACCAGGAAGCGTGATAAAGGGAATTTTGTTAAATCAGATATAATGATATTCAAACATAACAGATGGACTTTGAAATTAAGATCACACACTGAAATCAGGATAAAACCCATCATACTGTTTCAGAATCATCTTCCAATACCAACAATTACATGCAAGCTAACCAAAAGATTGATAAAGAAGATTTTGAATTTATGAATCATCAGATAATATCATGACTGATTTTCATCAGAAACGTCTTTTACCTCACTGTCATGGCCCCTGAATTTTCTAATTACACGACCAGATGAGACATCCCAGTAAAAGATTTGTCGGTCTCCTCCACATGAACATAGCTTGGAGTTATCCCTGCATTTTGAAAGCACTTGAGTATCACACGTCATCAAAAGGTGCAGGTATAATCACAGAAAATTAGCGATAGATGTTTAAACGTTGCTGCTACGGCTCAAATGATACATTAGGTTTGCATTCTACCATTCAACAACACTCATTACTTGAATTTTGCTTCAGCACAAAACACTTCTGTTGTTGTTTGTACTTCTTATAAGGTATACACATGAATATACTTTTTTAGAAAAAACATTGCTGGGAAAAATGAATCCACTATTCAGGATAATATATCCAAGAATAGAGAAAACTAAAAATACAAGAATGCACAATATTTAACATGGTTAAGTTTCTCAATAAACCTACATCCATAACTTTCTATTTAAATTTGGATCATAGTACGGAGTACAATTTTGAAGGACAAATTGTAAAGCCTCTCACAAATTGTTTTGAACTTTCAACAAATTCTAAAACACGCACATAATTTAGCAGTACTCTCAACAAAATTACTCTCTAAAAGTAGTACGGAATCTTCTCCCTCGACACAAAATTTTACTCTCTTTAGCATGGGATGTCAGGTCTCTCCTAGGCTTGAGGAACCAATTTTCAAAGCATCTCTCCACATTAGAGCATGATAAGGTGAGCTCTCATTTTATTGCAAAACTCCACCACCACAAGCCACCTCCATCGCTATCAACTAGCCACCATTATCAAGTTGGGAGCATCCCCGGCCAACTCATGCAAAGAGTCCAAATCTGTTTCCCTTTTTTCTTGTTTCATAGCTTTAGTAATTAAGATAGGAGATAAATAAATATGTAAGAATTTGTCTGCACCCAACAAACATTTTGCTGACAATTTATTCACCGATCAAATAAAGAAAAGTTCCCTCTGGTGCAAGGAGAGATTCGATACAAGAACAATGAATAAAATGAGAGAGTAACGTACTGAGTGACATGGACGTCTCGGACTTCACGGCCATGAGATTTGTACGTTTTGATGTGAATTCCGCGGTGAGGATTCCATAGTCGGATGGTTCGATCCCTCCCGCAGCTCAGGCAATAATCGCCATTGCTATTGAACCTAGCAGCAAGAACCGCTCCTTCGTGTCCTCTCAACACATTAACTTCCCTATTTGGCAGCTCTGCGGTGCTCATGCTCTCTCCCCACTGCTTGCTGATCGGCACAGAACACAAAAGGGGGTGTGGCGTTGTTCTACACTGTGGTAAACTGCTTCTCCTCCTATTCTGCAATCAGAAAAAGTGGTGACCAACTCGCTAGGGTATTTGTCCACTTTCATTTTTATACACCATCCAATACACTTCTTTAATTCATTTTATCTTGTAATTCGTATATTAAAAAATTATAGAAATTATATATTAATAATCTATATGTTAAGACAAATTAAACAAGATCGCACATTTAATTGAATAGTTCCAAAAGTCAAAACTGGATGAATACTGTATTTAGGCTTACACACTACTATTTAGATTAATATAAAAATAAGCAAGCATTCATATGGAAATTAACCTAATCACAGATTCACAGCACAAAAACCCACAAATCCAAAATTATACTCCGTAAGTGATAATTGTCTAGAATAATCAAACAAATACCGAGTATTTAGCTTCCTGCTAATGAAAATCCATGGTATGAGAAACATTTAGATGAAAGAAAGGAGGTATGTTAGATTACCTTCCGGAGGAGGCGTGGAGCACTGGAGCAGCGTCGTCCGGCGGCGGAGTGCACCTGCGGACTGCGGCGGTGTGTGTGTGGAGAGCTAGTTTCTTAGATATGACTCATTCTAAATTAAATTTTGATGGGATTGAAATTGTATTTAAAATTATTTTTGATCTGATCTGATTTTAATACAGAGTACTAAAAAAAGTTAAGAAAAAATAAGTCATAGTCCAGTGCATAATTACACCGTGTTTTTTTGTTTAAGTCATCTTTAGAAAATTTATAATTTTAAAACAGTCATCTAACCTAACTAAGACTTCTAAGTTGTTGAGACAATATATTAATTTTGTACTCAACATCGAAATCTTACATTTTTTAATTATATGAGACACAATTCACATGTGTCAAATTGTGTCCCTCATATAATTACATGATATTTACATTCTCAATTTTCAAATTTTATTGTATTATATTCCTAAAAAAATAATAACCCACTTATAATTTTGCACATATTTCTCGATAAATTAGATATTAGGTCCCTTGATTCCCAACATACAACCTATGTTCTTTGAAATTATCCTCACCAAACTTTGGACTAATTGCCTAAGCTAGTTAGTTAACCAACGTTCATCAATCGATAAACCCTAATAAACTATGTTAACTTTCTTCCACAATTTAGGAGATTGTCAATTGTCTTAACAAGCTGACAATCAATTGTCAACTTATAATCATAATCCAGACTTTTATTTACATCAATACAGGGTTGGACAACGAACATTTAAGATTATTCAATTAACCTTGTAAATTACAAAGACATCTTGGCGTTCTGCAAAGAAAGAGGGAAAGAAGAAGAAAAAAGGGGCTAGAAGAAGAGAGACAAGCCATCTCACCATCGTATCAACGACACGTTATAAGACACACCCTCCCCATCAATTTGTAAGTGAAAAATAAATAAGAAAAATTGCCAAGTTTATATGTTCTCAAACTGGTCGAGCTCTACAAGCAAGAGCCGAAGGAGGAAATACGTAGTATTATTATTACGGAGTAGTTTCTATACTATGTTGCTAGCCTATTTATTTTTCCTACATTATTTACTATTGCTACTATAGTTAGAAATCCCCACATTCTTTGAGGATTCATTATTTTATAAAATCAATTACTATCAAATTGTATCATAGGAATATTTGAATAAGTTCACTTTCCATTTCGACACCAAAATGGCTGATTTTGGATTACATTGTTTGACACTTGTGAAGATTAACAATCAAAGAGTACACAACCAATATAAGGGTGACTATTGTAGGGGAGAAGAAGCAAGGAGGATAACTTTCCACAGTCCAAACTACATTTGTCTTCATTGACAGATGTAATGTAGATCTTGGTGAAAGGAAAGATTCACAGCTCAGTTGGTTTTATCAGTTTTGTGCCTGAAGAGGTGATAAAACAGAGACAGCAACCAATGCCAAATTGCAACAAGGAAACTCTTCTTTTCGGGTTTGGGTTCGGGTCTTTTTCCAAACAATCCTTTGTAGAGTTCCTTTTGTTTTTGGTAGACTGCCTTGTCATGTTTGTCGAGCAGGTCCAACTGGCGTACAATAGCCTTGTCTTGCGGGTCAAACTTGCGTGCTTTAAGGAAGTCTTCTCGGGCTGCATCTGTCTGTCCAAGTGCTGCTCTAGCCTTCCCTCTTCTGAACAATGCTTTAACATTGTTTTCATCTTCCACCAACACCTAATGATTTACAGAAAAAGTCAATCAGTCTAGGTCTCATTTGTCATTGCGTAGAAGGCGAAAAGGATACTGTTTCTTGGGTGTTTACTCGTATTAAGGCATTGATTTTAAAGTAACAATCAAAGGCAAAGTAGGACACACAATTTGATGAGAACACGCTTTTATTATATCAGAAAAATATAACTCAAAACCTAATACAATAACTCTCATACAATTTCATTTGAAAACCCAAATCTTGGTTGTGTTATTTATAGTGTTAACCCAACTTGATCAACAAGTAGGCTAGTTATTCCTAGTAGCCATCATTCTATTCCTACTCAACCTAGAATATCTTGTTTATTCCTAATCTTACTCAGTAATTAGCCAACAAGACACAGTCAATACATTAAACATCCTCACTTTTAACTTTGAAATCTACCCTTGAAACTACACTGAAACAAAATAATATATATGCATTAATAGCCCGAGAGAGAAAGAGGGTTTTGAAAATTTGTATACTTACAATGCTGCATTGGTTTATCACTTCATCATAGCGGTTGAGCTTTAACATGCACTGTGCCATGTTAAGGTGGCAAGGATTCTTTACCGCTAAAGCCATGTCCCGGTATTTGCCAAACAATTGAAACATAAAGTCATCTCCCAAATATGCTATGGCCTAGCTCAACCAATGGATAGTAATTGCACAGTTACAACCTCAATTATATATAGCTAAAAAGCATCACTAAAGAATTTTGCAGTTCATTTACCATTTCATACTGTTGCATTGCCTCCTCGAGTTTTTCTTCTTTGAAAAAAACATTTCCATCCATCTTTCTCCTATCAGCAGCACCAATCCGCTCCTCTACTGTCATGTCACTACGTGCTTTGCCCTACACAACTTCAAATAAACTGAGGTACTGTTTGGTGCCATAGAATCATAGTTATTTAAGGCGTGATGCGCACCAATGCGCAAAGGGCTTCTAGCGCCTCGATGCGCGATGCGCATCTGATGCGCGCGCATCACGAACACGATGCGCATATGTAGGCACAAGTAGCATAGCATCTCTAAATAAGTAATAACACACATAGGATGTTGAAAAGCATATGAAAATTTTAGAAAACAATCAAAAATCAAATTCAAACAGTACCATATGCATATTAAAAAAAACCAAAATGCAACTTATGAATCAAAATCAAATTCGAACATTACCATATTCAAACACCAATGAATAAAATACATCAATTTAATAAACAAATTGCAATTAACTAACTAATGAAATTGATAAAATACAAAAATTTAATCAATAAATAAAAAATTAATGAACAGATTGCAATTAAATAACTAATGAAATTGATAAATTACAGCTGTTTAATCAATGAATTAAAAAAAGAAATTATGTGTATTTCACAATAGTGACAGAGAGTAACTAAAAGAGAGGCAGAAGAGAGTTTTTTGAGTTGGAAGTCTATTTAATAAAAAAAGCAACTAAAAAAGAATAGACCAACTTGAGATAGCTTTGAAATTGAGAGTCTGCTGAGAATGGAGTCTGTGGTAGCCGAATGAAGTTCCAGAGGCTTTTGCGACTTTCGAGGTGTAGGAGAAAAGAGGTTTGATGCGTTCTAGAGGTAAGTGTCAACCCTAATTCTTACGGGAAGACTACTTATAAAATACCTTATCAAAAAGTAATTTAAAAAGTTGTTCGTTCATGATGCGCGCATTATTGCGCCTCGCATCGCATCGCATAAGGCGCCTATGCGCGATATTGCGCGCGCCTCAAGAACGTCGCCCGCATCAAGGTCAGTGATGCACTAAGGGCTGCGCTTCGTGCGCATCGCGCCTCAGGCGCGCCTCGCGTGCGCATTTCACAACTATGCATAGAATGTACCCTCTTATAGACTTATACATCAAACTTTGCAATTACTCACTTCTTTAGTTTCATCAAAACCAATTAATTCAACTTCATACATAACACTGGCCTCAGGTGGAACATTTGGAAAAGAGAAGCTTCCATCTTTTCCATATGCTAGTTCCCATCCAACATGTAGCAGTGCACGTTCACCAGATCTCATGCCCGAAATACCAATAGCCAGCCCAGTCATTTCTTTTTTCTCTAAGAAATTTTAAAAGGCATTTCAAGTTATCACCATAACCAAAAATCAACATCAAGATATTTATTTATTGCTCCATCCATTGCAAAAAAAGAAATTACAACTTTTCTTTTCCGTCTATCCCAAAATCAACTTCCCATTGTTCCTATTTTCTTTCAAGGGAAGTAATATGCAGCTAACAACATTTCTCTCTTTTAAACATAATTTATCCACACTTTTCACTTTTCTTAAACTCTTTATGTACACTCTTTTATAGACCCTCCAATACATTGTTACATTAAAACCCAAAAAATCATAAGAAGTGTAAAGCAAATGAAGTTTAATGTACCACTTTAATTAAGTGTATAGTTTCAATATCATGCGATCTTTGATGCAATGCATTTTGAATTAAGAGCCCGGCAATATATATACATGTATACATTGAAATTGGCAATGGAAATGATATGGTTTGTCTTACGGATCTAAGATTTAATATTTAATTAGTTACGGAATATTATTATTATTATTACTATTACTATTATTAAAATTTGTCATTCTTTAGTAATATAACTATATAAGTATTAGTTTCCTATTATTATTACTATTATTACTATTATTATTATTATTATTAGGAAGATTGATTTTCAAGCCATTTCTTGCTGCTTTCATAATGTTAGTACTGGAGTACTGGTAAGGCTATTTGGATCACCAGTGTTTATGGCAAGCACACCAAAGCTGAAAGGATGGAACTTTGGAATTCCCTTATTGATCATATGCCAGATCCTGATCATTGGCTGGTTGGAGGTGACTTTTACACCATAGCCTCCTTAGATGAACACGAGGGCAAGTCTCATCCTTGTTTAGCTAGCACGAATGACTTTAATGATTGTCTTAGTTCATGTGGGCTGGCATCTCCTCCTATCCAAGGTGGCCTTTTCACTTGGATGGGAACTAGATCAAAGGGCACTGTATAGACGATTGGATAGAGTTTGGGCAAACCCACATTTCTTGGACTTCTATTAGTTCTACAATAACACTTGTATTCAACACTTGAGTAGAGCTGGATCTGACCACAAGTCTGTTGGTCATCTGTAAAAAACTAAAAATAATGAGTTTACTGGTCCAAAGATCTTCAGATTTCTAAATGTGTGGGCTGCTCATGATGGCTTTCAGGACCTGGTTAAAACGAATTTGAGTCTGCCTTACTAAGGAGGTGGTATGTTGGGGCTTGGTTTAAAACTCAAAAAAATCTGAAAGGGGCTCTTAGTGCTTGGAATAGGGATACTTTTGGAAACATTTTTCAAAAAGTAAAAGATACTGAGGAAATGGCTGAACACGTTCAAGTCAAGCTGCCAGACAGTGATGTTCTCTTACAAGATTGTAGAAGGGAAACAGAATTATGGGCATGAAAAGCTCACATCAAAGGGCTGGACAGTGGGGACGGCTCTACTTCCTTTTTCCTTTCCTTTGTAAAGGGAAGAAAACAAAGACTATATACAAGATGAGCTGGGGAGGATTTGTAACACCATCCCAGAGATAAAGGTTGCAGCTGGCTCTTACTACCAAAACCATTTCACTCCCACCCATGAAGAAAATTTCCAGGAGATCATTGATCACATCCCCTCTGTGATCACCCAGGCAGACAACTTAGCCATTTGCACTCTGCCATCTTTAGAGGAGGTGAAAGCTGCCATTTGGAGCTTGGACACAAATAGTGCAACTGGGGTGGATGGTTACAATGGGTTTTTTTTAAAAAAAAACTTGGGAGACTATTCAGATTGATGTTTGGAAAGCTGTATAAGAATTTATCTTAGGGATTAAAGTCCCTAAATCATTTGGAAGAACTCTCTTGACTTTGATCCCTAAGATTGATAACTATTCTTCTTTTGATCATTTCAGGCCTATCTCACTATCAACGCTTTTGAGCAAAGTGCTATCAAGAATCCTAGCAGACAGACTGAAGCCACTATTGCCAAGAATTATTTCACTGGAGCAGGCTGCGTTTCAAGCTGGGAAGGGCATTGAGGAGCATATTCTTTATGCAAGGTGAGAGGACATAATCTGAATGTGAAATTGGACCTTGGCAAAAGATTTTGACAGGGTAATTTGGCCCTAAATAAGGGCTGTGCTCCACAAATTTGGCTTTGATGATAGACAGAAACCTGCTGCTTGGCAACATGGAATCCATATACATCTCTGTCCTCATTAATGGCCAGCTTACGGGCTACTTCTAGATGAAAAGGGGAGTTAAGCAAGGGGATCCTCTATCACCATTGCTATTAATCATCAGCACTGAAGTCCTCACAAAAAGCATTAACCATCATATCAGAACTAAATATCTTAAAGGATTCTATGCTGGAGGTGAAGACTGTTTCCAATCTTAATTATGCTGATGACCTCATTCTCTTTACTAAGAGGGATTAGGGATGAAAGGAACTTATTAAGGTTGAAGACAACACTGAACACCTACATGAGAGCATCTGGGCAAGCTATAAATTTCTCAAAGAGTAAGGCCATTGTCGGAAAACAGATTGCTAGGAAAACCATTCAGGCCTGAGAAAGGATCCTAGAGATTAAATGCAGCAAAGAGCAATTTAAATACCTTGGCAGTACCATTGCGAAAGGTACGCTCAAAAAATCCCACTATCAACCACTTATCCAACATTTTGAACAATACATGCAAAGGCGGTATAGTAAAAAGCTTAATCAAATGGGTAGACGTATCACGTATACTAATCAAACATGTGTTATCAGCTATTCCCATACATACATCCTCTCAGTCCAAGAAATTCCACTTTTAAGTAACATATGAGAGGAAACACAAGTATCACTGGAAGAAATGGTCATATCTCTATACCCCTATATCTAAAGGAGGTCTAGGGCTAAGAATGATTGAAGATATACAAAAGGCAGCATCTCTCGAGCTTTGGTGGAGGATCCAAACAGGTGGTGCGCTCCAGGCTTCCTTCATGAGAAGTAAATACGATAGAAAGGGAGATGTCAAACCTAAGGGGTATGACTCTTATTCCTGGAAAAGGATATGCAAAACACACCACCTGGCCCAACAAGATGAAGATATAGAGAAGTGGCCAATGCATCATTTCTCCTTCAAAGAAGCTTACAATGCTAGCATCAATCACAAGGCAGATACATGGTCTTCAAAGTTTATTTGGAACAGCAAACAATTCAGGAAGATTCAGCTTAACAGATGGAGAGCCTTAAATAAAAGTATGCCTTTCCCAAATCTTCTTTTCAAATTCAATCTCCATGTGCACACAGCATGTGTGGCTTCTGTGGAGGAAATTCAGCTGACGATGAACATACCTTGCTTCACTGCCAGGAAATTAGCAGGACTTGGGACCATTATGCTTCCATAATGGGAGGTCCTCTCTACAAGACAGGACTTACGCTCCAACATTTTATGCAATGATGGATTAGCTCTTCTAAGAGCATTACGAGAAGTTATCTTAGATTGATCCTTCATGGGCTAATCATTTGGTGCTGTTGGAAAGCCTACAACAGCCTTCTATATGATAATATCAAGCTGAGTAGAAACAAGTTGCTTTGCCAGATCAACAACCTGATACATTACTGGTGCTGGATCAATAGATACCTCTTTATATGGCCTCTTAATAAAAACCTAGCTAGCCTAATCTGATGTAGTTGTTTTACTTGTTTGTTCTTAGCTAGGTTTTGCTCTTAATCTGCTCTTGCCATGTATATCTTCTTTTCTTCTTATCAATAAAATCCCCATTCTTAAAACTTGTTGTTGTTGTTGTTGTTGTTGTTGTTGTTGTTGTTGTTGTTGTTGTTATTATTATTATTATTATTATTATTATTATTATTATAATTAAGTAGTAGCTGTAGTATTCTATTTTAGTTAATATTCTTGATCGCAGCATTGTATTACGTTAGAATTCTATTAACTTGCTCACCAAGACTCTCTGAGAGTAGTATAAATAGAGGGGTTATGCTCAATAATAAAATCTTCATTGAAGCAATTAAACAATTTTTCCTAATTAGTTGAGGGCAAGAGACGGGTTCTTCATCTATCTCAGAGATCTCTTCAGATCCATAACAGTTCTTCTCGGTGGTTCATATGGCTGATTCAAGAGATACAGATTTAGGATGTCTTTTTGGCTTTTTGTCACTTGAATTCTCAGGAATTGGAAGAGACACGGTCAATTATATTTTTTTACTAAATGGTGGGGCATCTATTCCATTGGCCTCGAGTGAATAATTGTTTGCAAAATTTTGAGCATTTTTATCATGTTCTAGCTTTGAATTTCCTTACATGTGCTTTTTACTTATGGTACTCCTGGTTCACAATTTTAAAAAAAAATTATGGAATTATTTACAATAACTATGTGGTGACTAATAAAATATAGGTTGTGAATAGATGGCATACTTCATGATTTATGAAACATGAAAGCAAAGAGAGTGAGCAAACTAATTCAGGCTTAAAGGATATTTACAAGGGGCACCACCTTTTCCTATTACCAACTCAAGGGGCTGTTGTTCAAGCCATGTATCTTCGAACTTGTGCTTGGTGCTTTTTGTCCATGCCCTATAATGCACTACCAACACAATCAATGTCAGTCTGATGCAATTGCAATGGCAGGGGGAAATGTATACAAAGTCAAGTTGTATTCAATTTGGAAAATCTTAAATATGCCCAAGTTACATGGGATAATGCTTTGTTGTTGTTGTTGTTGTGAATATATTAACATAAGGAGAATAACAGTGGTATGATAAAAATAAAAAATGTGCTACTGATGAAACAATTAGGGGGTGTTTCTTTGTGTTGGTGCTTATTGGCTTATTGCTGATAAGCAGTTTTTAACTTATAAGTTGCTTACAATCCAAATATTGTTTCGTGGAAGTAAAATGACTTAAATGATAGACAAATCATTTGAAATATTCATAAATGGCGAGAGATTGCTTTGTAAATAATCTGGTCAAAACGGAAAAACGAAAAAACAGACTTAAAAAGAAGTAGCCATAGTTGTTAATGGCGAGTGGCGAGGAGCGGGCGAGAGGACCTTTTTAATGGCGAGAAGCAGGCGGTCAAATGGAGAACATATAATAATAATAATAATAATAATAATAATAATAATAATAATAATAATAATAAACAGGAATTGAAAAGGAAGTTACGGGTTATTAAGTAAATTTTAAAAAAAGGAAACAAAAGAAAAAAAGGAAGGAAAAAAAGAGAAGAAAGTTAGGGAGACAGTAAATTCAAACAGATCTAAATATAAACCTAGATCAGAAAATCAAAAAATGAAACTCACTCCCACATGTTACAAAGAAATTTTAAAAAACAAGAAAAAAAGAAAATACTCAATATAAAAAATACTACATGAAAAAGAGAAAAAAAAGGAGAGCAAACGACGCTGGCTTTATCCGAGTCGATCCGCTCGCCTATTGCTCCAGATCGCCGCAAAAAACACTTTTGTGTCGCTCCAAACGCAGAGCGCATATGGCGCACACTTCTCGCTCCAAACACAAGCGACAATAGCGACCGCCTCTAGCCACAGTGAGCAGTGGCGGAAACACCTCGCCATAGCGCCTTTGGCGCCATAAGCGTTAATGGCAAGCGTCATTCACAACTATGGAAGTAGCTAAGACCTACTTATTTTTTCAGGCTTATAAGCAGCTTATAAGTCAACTTATAAGCATACAGAAACATGTCATCAGCTGATTTATTAGTTAAAAACTGCTTATAAGCAGTTTTGACCAGCTTATAAGAACAAAGAAACACCACTAAGACTTCCATCTTAAATTTGACGTATAATGGGGTTGACTAGTGCCACACTGCCACGAAATGGTTTCCCGTATGGTAGAGAACATCAATTGAAAAAATGCAAACTTACATTTTCTTCATAATGTTATGATAATGTTTAGATAAATTATGTATATTCAGAAAAATTAAATGTCAAAGCAATGTATTTGTTTTAATTTAAATCATCTTGTCCATAACTTTTCTTAAGCTCACTGACGGAATTGTCTAATAACTCTAAATATAGTGTGTTTCGTTTCTCTCATTCGATCCAATTGGGTTATTGTTGTTGCATAGTGTGTTTTGTTTACCACCATTGGATTCAGCTAAACCAAAACTATCGCACACTATTGTGTGCAGTATATCCCAACCAAATAATGACTAATCTTGAACTTACAAAAGCATGTTGCATATTTGGATGGCTTCTGGCCATGGCCTTCCTTGATGATTTGCTTTGTTACTTTCTCATGAAGGACTTCCACTTCTGAATCAACAATTGGAGGACCCTCACCTTGGGGAAGCTCTCCATGAACAGTTGATGTTCCTTCGGTGATAATCTCATTGACACCATCATTATCTGCAACACATTGAACATATTGTTTCAACCTTCCAGGAGGCTCCTTAAAGAATATACTCGTGAGCTTTCAACAACAATTACAGCATGAAACAAAAAGGTGCATACTTATTGCCCTTTGAATGGTAGAGAAACATAAATTTAACCAGCATCACATGCTTTGTGCACCTCATACAACACACCGTTGAGATTCGAATGTATAAGCACAAATATACCATCAAAGTGGGCAAAATATGGTTTTCATCATCTCCAATGGAACCAAAGACTCATTATTTTTTGTCTTTGAAGTATGATGCAATAAAGCAACTCTTTAAACTGTCTGTGCTTCTTTTAGTAGTAAAGTAGAAGTCAGTCAATGCAACTATCGATGCTCATCATGGGTTATCCAAAAATAGCCGCTCTATGTTTTAAACATAGGGGTGAGGCTGCTTACGTGATTACATATGGTGCTTGAGCTAGGATCTCATTGGAAACAGCATGTCTACTTTTAAGTAGGGAAAAGGTCTGCATACACACACCCTCATCAAACCCTACTTTTGTGGGATTCAACTAGGTTGTTGTTGTAGTAGGCAAACTATTAACATGTCGCCCATTTGGTAAGGGTTAATTTGGCTGAAATGGATAAAGCAACTGAAGTTTCTGAAATTCATGATAAATTATCGGAAATATTATTTAAAATATATCTTCTTTATATATTCAAAACATCTAAGGCTAAAGGTAGAGTTGTCATATTTATTCATTTCAACAACTTCAACCAAAATTAACTTATGCACTAGTCTTTTTCATTATAAACAGATTTAGCCAGCACAGTTAAAAGAGTTAGTGTTGAACAAACTAATCTGATTGATAAAGTTGATAAGCAGAAAAAGGTCACACTAAACCGGGAAGTAATGTCTTACTTCCAATGAAAGCAATTGCATATTGTTATGTACTCGTGTGCAATACAACTGCCTCTCTTGATCCTCCAGGAGGAGGCCTAGTTAAATACTCTTAAAAGTCTAGAATAATCCATCACACACTCATAACAAGTTTACAACCCCTCTTATTAACTACTCGACTGCAAAAGCTTGAGTTTGTTTCATTGTGAAGTTTAAGATATTGTAGATGACATATCCACAATGTTGAGTAATAACTATTCATCTTCAATTACTGACATGTCATGTATGGAACATTCATAGTGTATGCAAAAATCTGAAATTCGTTCCTATATAACATAAAACACTGAACTGTATAAAACAACGTCTGCAATACCTTTTGTCGAGATCTGCTGCAGCTGATGCTCCTCCTCTACTCCCTCCATTAGGGCCGGCCCAATTATATATTGGGCCCTGTGCGATAGAAAAAATTAGGGCCTTTTATATTGTACGGCGTATATAATTATTTTAATGCAATTGCAACTAAAATATAAGTTGATAATAAGTAGAAAAATAATAATTATAACAAAGATATTTTTGTTTGCATGATATTTACAAGTCTATACTCAACACCATGTGCATATTCATATTTTTTAGATCATTATTTTTTTAAAACAAAAAAAAAACATACATATTCTTGTAATAAGGGTATGATTAAATCCACTCCTTAAATGAATAAATCAACGCCTTCCACCCAAATTTGCTAAATCCCCACTCTAGATGTAAAATATTAAATTTATAAGAGTCAAGTGGATTTAGTAAAGTTGGGTGGGAAGAGTGGATTTAGTCTGATCCTTGAAATAATTAAGATTATTCTAAAAATTAATATTTTGATCACATCTCCAAAAAATGGCAGGCAGTCAGGTCATCTTCATTCTTCATATTATTTTAAGATTATTTTCTCATGGAAAGGTAAGTGAGGCACTCAACCCCTCATGCTAGTTTTTTTTCTCTGCCATCACAATTAATATTAAGACACTACAATAACCAAATAACCCTAATTTATTCATTCCAAAAATAGAAAAAAAACAAATCTCTAGAAATCTCCCAAAATACAGGTTAAAATGTTGGATCATAATAACATTGGACTAACGAAGATGAAAATGAAATGAGTAAAGGCTAAAAGGCGTACGGTTTACCTGGGATATAAATATCGATGGCCACAAACGCTTGGCTTTCTCGATTGCTCTGTGTCTTGATCTCAAGGTCGGAGCTCTTCAATCTTCGTCTTTGACTCTGGAACTTGAACAGTATTCCAACTTCAATCGGAGGAAAGGAGTGAGACTATATTATCTAGGACCGCTACATTTACACCAAAAATTGTACCCAATTTGTACACCGTAGTTATACACAAACATTTTGATGATTCACACCGACACAAATGTTGGTGCGTTAACAAAAATTTACACGGACACAAAGTGTTGGTGCGTTAACAAAAATTAGTTTTACACCAACATAAAAGGGAGAAAGACCAAAGTAGGACTAAAACATTGAAAATATACCAAAATAGGACTTCCATATTTTTATTCCCGAAATAGGACTTACATTACCAAACATGGTCATATACATTACCAAAAAAGTATAGTAATGTGCACATGTACACTGCCACATTACCACAATGCAAAGTCACATTACCACAGTGCAAAGTCCTATTTCGGGAAAAAAACATGAAAGTCCTATATTGGTACTTTTCTCTATGTTTTAGTCCTATTTAAGGGGATTTCTAAACATAAAATGTTGGTGCAAACCTGCGGGGTACAAAGTGGGGTACAAAATGTTGGGGTACAAGTAGCTTTATCCATATTATCTCTCTCCAAAAAAATGTTACAGGCTCGGTTTGGTTCAAGGAATTTGAAAAGGAAAATAAAAGAAAATGAACTGGAAAACCATTTTTCTTATTTGGTTAGAGAGGAAAAGAAAAGAAAAGTGGAAGGAAAAGAAAATGAGGAGACAAAATGTACCAAGTGGAGGAAAAATCAAATTCCTTCCGTTTTGGTGAGGAAAATGAGATCAAACGATTTTCTTTTCTTTTCCTTCCAAAATAATTAAGCCAAATATAGTGTAAATATTTGCCACACTTGTATTCCCAAGATAAAATATCAAGTTTTTTCAATTCATTTTATTTATATATTGTTATAAGAATAAAAAATAAAATTTACATATCAAATAATTTTATGAAAAGTTCTTCGAAATAAGAGGTATCGAAAATATTTTATTTTATCAAATAACCAATGAAAACATAAAAATAAGCAAAAGTTCCCGCAAATCTTGAAAAAGCAAACCTTGCAAATAATTTGGGACGGAGGGAGTATCTTGGGGGCCTAAGCAGCCTATGGGCCGGCACTCCATAGTTTTCAGAACCGAACCAGTGATCGAACCGGTCAAGGTATTGGTTTACTGGTTTACTGGTCGAACTAGTGGTTCGAGTGGTTGAACCAGTGGTTCAAACATTTTTAATAAATATATAAATATATATAATGAAATTATATATATATATATATATACACACACACACACACATACACGTTGTGGCATTGAATTAAAAAAATTAATATATGAGTAAATAAAATAATATTTCCTCTATTTATAAATAAAGAATTGATGTTTGACTAAATTTATAATTTAACTTAATTTACTTGAGTTGTGTCATTAGATAAAAATAATAATTACTTATTTAAAAGAGCTTACAAATAAAAAGTGATTTAAATTTTTAAAACAATTTACCTAGTATTTAAAAATATAAATAAATAAATAAATAAATAAATATATATATATATATATATATATATAAGATATTTGTGTTTAAACAATTTACCTAGTATTTAACAATTTTTTTAAACAATTTAAACTTTATTATTACTCTCACTTGTGAAATAATAATATAAATTTAACAATAAGTAAATACCAATTTGGTAAAAATAATATTATTAATGCCAATATTTGACATTAATTTTTTTATAATCATAATAAGTCATAACAAAACATAAACTATTGAAAATTATATTATTTGAAACTTCAAGAGTAATCATGTATGAAATGATATACGAAATATAATTCATTTATATTGTTCATGTAAACCTTCTCTAAGGCTTTATTTTCTAATGCTAAAATTGCAATGAAGATTAATTTTCACAACTTTACTATTATACAATTCAGAGAGAAGGTATATGGTACAGCCGGTTGTACCAGAATCAAAGTATATTCGAGTAGTATTCATTCTAAAGTAAAGTAGTACTCATTCTCACAAATATAAACATTATTTTGAAATAACATAGTACTCATTCTGAAATAACGTGGTACTTATTTTCACACATTTATACAATAAAATAAAATTATAATAATCATTTACGAATAACTTAGTGTTCATTCTCAAACAAAGTGGTGTTCATTCTCAAATTACGTAGTAATTCTCATGTAACATATCGTTTATTCACTTTAAATTTGGAAATATAATTTTATATTTTAAATTAGACTAAATGTCTAATTAAACTTACATTACTCTAAATTACTCCAATCAGCATCGTCATCGTCATCTTCATCGACATCTTCATCGCTGTCGGCATCAACGAGAGTTGGACCTAGGGTTTATCAGTTCCTTCCAGATGAATAGCGCCTGAATTCTCTCTCTCATCCTCACCTAGGGTTGCCGCTCTTCCGCGCAGACTTGCGACAATCCAGATCGTCCATCGTGTCGCACCTAAGGTCCTTGTGGAAATCCATATCTTCTACACGATTGCTCCATTTCATTGATTCGTTTTAAGGCTGGTTGTACCCAAAATTGGGTACAACGACTTGTAGAATATAAATTGCGCAATTCAGATAATTGATCGATGTTTCTAGGTAACATAATGGGTATAACATTCTTCAAATTAAAATTATTTTGTGGTTTGAGATTTACAAACATTTGTTCTCCTTTATAAACTCAATTATTATAGAATCGTCATTGATTGGAAAAATATATGATCCCCGCATTGGTTTAGATTATTAAAAAAATCGAAAAATCTCCTCGTAATGATATGATTCTATTCTCTCCAATTAATTTTTTTAAAAAAATATGATTTTCATTGCCCGGTTTAATAAAAAAATTGTGATCCTATAACTATTCTTCATTGTATAATTTTTTTAAAAGTAGATTACCAATTTTATTATCTAAAAATATGGTTCTTTTACCCTGCATTGACACATTAATTTATATTAGTGCAATAAATATTATTGTCAATTGTACTCTATAATATAATTTCAAATATTATATCATAATAGATAATTAAAAATAATATATCTTTAAGTTTATATCATAAATTATCTAAGAACAATAAATCATAAATTGTGTAGTCATAAAATCAATTTATTCAAACTATGGAATTATGCATCGTATTTTTTCTATTTTAGAAGCAACTATAGTCTAGGTATCTCTTGGTTTATAAGTATTTTAATTTAGTTTTTAACGTATATATTTTTTAGTTTTCCATCAATATTGTAATTTATGGAATCAAAACTAACTTCATTTTAACATATCATGATTGAGAAATACTCCCTTCCTCTAGTCCTATCAATGGGTCAAGTTCAAGCTGAATCATAATATTTCATATCCGTACTTTTTTAGAAAAATTGATCTTGACCCGTCTTCGTTTATCTGATGATTCTTGAAATTTATATTAAACTAGTGTTAACCTTGTGCTTCGCATGGGCTCGTATATATTCTAAATTTTTCAGATTCTATAAATATAATTTTAGTTGTTTTAGTTTTCTAATAGTGACAAAACATGTTTTAAAGTGGTGGAATATATATTGGTATGCTAATTTAAAAACAAACAAATTTTACAAAATTAATGGTCATTGAATTATGTACTAATAAAAATAGTTTTAATTAATAAAATATTTTAATAAAAAGTGGATTAATTACACAATGATACGTCATTAGAGAATGTATGCGTCATAATGTCACTTGTCACCCATATGTGTCATAATTAAATTTATTCTAAGATTTCATACCATAACAATAATTTCACATTTTATACGTCCTAAATTAGGTGGAATATTAGGTGTCAAAAAAATACAATTTGTTTTTATAGGCGACGAAATATTTTATTTATTAGGTGTTAATATTTGAATAAATATTATCAAACTAAATTCAATTATTTAAATGTATCAGAAAGTAATATAAAAATTATTCATAGGTGAAGAGAGTATACTTTTTCTTATTAAAATGTCTGATAATAAATATATAGAAAAAAAGTATAGAATAAGAACAACATATTATCATAAAATAAAGACTTTTTTTCCATTTTTAAGTTTACTCAAATATTTCTTATCCAATTTTTAATTTCATAAGAAAAGTTAGGTGACGTGTTAAGTGTTAAAAAAGGCTACATAAGCATCCCACATGTCAAGTTCTTAGAGATCCAACTCTTCTTTTTTAATAGGATATTAAAAAAGGATAAATGATATAAGATAGGATATAGGATAAAATACATACATACATACATATATATATATATATATATATATATATATATATATATATATAATATGGAGTATATTTGTATATTTTACAATGGTGAAATATATATTTATATATTTATAGAATTATTAAAAAATGAAAAAGTTTTATACAAATGTATTCAAAGATCTTTTCAAAGAAATCTAAATGGAACAATAAATTGAAATGTAATTGTTGAAAACTCAAAACCAAAATACACTCATATTGAATCTTTTAATGAGGCTCATGGTAAGGAAGCCTATATCTCAACGGACCCTCGAGAGTCGAGAATAAGTCGAGAATGAGGCTCATGGTAAGGAAGCCTATATACCATGGTCCTCCCATGCCCTACCTTTAAGAGCATTGGAAATACTCGTGAAGCCCCGAGGCTTGAAACAGGGGCTTCAAACCTTCATTTTTTACCTTTTTAGTATACATCTTCTAATTTAAATTATTAAATTTTAATTAATTTATTATTTAAATTAATCAAAAGGAGACTAGTGCATTAAAAAAATTACATTCATTAAAAAAATATTACATTCATAGAAGAATACATTCATAAAAAAAGTTACATTTATTTAAAAAAATATTACATCTATAAAAAAATAACACTACAAAGAAATTACTAATTATTCGAGCGACTAAAAATATCTTCATTCAAATCCAAGTTGTAGTAACATATTGCAAACTGAAATAATTCATTAAATAAAAAATGCAGTCAATAAAAAAAGTATGTTAAATTTAATAAAAAAACAAAACAAAATTACATTACTAAAAAAAAATTAAACAACAAAATATAGAGTAAAAAATTTATGTTTGTGCA